CACCAGCCAGAGGTCTGGATGGGGCTGACAGTTCCAGCCCTTATCACTTGGTCCTTCTGATGACCAGCCCCCCTCCTGAGGCTATCTGGGGGCCCCCCACCAAAATTTACTTCATTAGCAAAACCCAGGTCTGATAGGAAGGGGCTTGTTCAGAATTACAAGACATTCCTATCACTCAGGAAATGTCAAGGTTTTAAGAGCCCTGTGCAAGGAACATGGACAAAGACCAAATACATTTCTTTTTATGTCCCAGAGGGAGGTATTAGACCATCTCTTCCAGATCTGTGGTATAATGAAAACACAGGATGGACGCCTTGGCCACACATAAGAAAGATTTGAAATTTTCCACAGACCTGTGTCTGTTGATAAACGGGGTTTAGTGTTGGTTGGCTTCAGTCTCATGATGTGCTTACTGCTCTCATTATTTGGGCCCTGCTTACAGATAGGGAAATTTCCATGGAATCGCTGAGAGGTAAAAACTCATAATGAGATCCATTTTGTGGTTGAGTGGAATGAATGAGTCTTGACATCTTCATGATTCTGCTATGTTCTACATCAATGTTCTTTATTTCACCAACAAGGAAGATGGTGGATTTATAAGGAAATAATCCAGATGCACAAATAGTAAATCATTGTACTTTACCACAGTTGAAGAAGGCTTAAAGATATTATCCAACATGATGGTCTTGTTTTCTAAATTCTGTGACTCAGTTTAGTATATCCATCAGATTGTTATGTAGTTAATAAAAATCATTTACTATAGACATTTGTCAAAACAAGGATTAGGATATAATATGACATAACAATGAACTTAAGGTTCAAATAAATTCTTTAACTGAATGCAAACTCATTCTAAAAATTTGTGTTAATTTTAATTTTTTAATTGAAATATAGTTATATACAATATTGTATTGCCTTCAGATGAACAACTTAGTGATTCATCACTTACGTACATTACTGAATGCTCACCATGGTCAGTGTGGTTACCATGTATCACCATACATAGCTGTTACAGTATTATGAGCTATATTCCCTATGTTATACTTCCATCCCTGTGACAAAACTATTTTATAATTTGATGTTTGTACCTCCTTAGCCCCTTAATCGATTTCACCCAGGCCCACTGCTTCCATGGTAGCCAACTGTCCATTTTCTGTGTTTATGAGTCTATTTCTATTTGTTCATTTGTTTTGTAGAGTGGTTCCTCAAACAACTCAAAATACAAATACAATTTGATCCAGGATGTTCACTCCTAGGAATTTACCCTAAGAATGCAACAGCCCAGTTTGAAAGAGACATATGCACCCCATGTTTATTGCAGCCCTATTTACAATAGCCAAGAAATGGAAGCAACCTAAGTGTCCCTCAGTAGAGGAATGGATAAAAAACATGTGGTATATAAGCACAATGGAATTGATCCATAAGAAAGAAACAAATCCTACCATTTGTAACAACATGGATGGAGCTGGAGGATATTATGCCCAGTGACATAAACCAGGTGGAGAAAGACAAGTTCCATATGATTTCACTCATTTGTGGAGTATAACAATGAAGCAAAACTGAAGGAACAGGACAGCAGCAGAGTAACAGACTCCAAAGAAGTGGCTCTCAGTTCCCAAAGGTAGGGAGGGAAGGAGGGAGGGAGAAGGGGATTAGTGGGCATTATGATTAGCACACATAATGTAGGGGGGCCACAGGAAAGGCAAGGCTGTGCAGCATGGAGAAGACAAGTAGTGACTATAGCATCTTACTATGCTGATGGACAGTGACTGCAGTGGGGTCTGGGGGTTACATGATGATATGGGTGAATGTTGTAACCACAAGGTTGCTTATGTGAAAACTTCATAAGATTTTATATCAATTATACCTTAATACAAACATAAAAAAATTAGGGAATTAGTGGTAATGGTTGCAAAATTTTTTGAACCTACTGAAAGCCACTAAGTCATACACCTGAAAATGGTGAATTGTGTGGTGTGTGAATTGTATATCAATGAAAGACAGAGGCAGAGAGATTTGAGAAATACATTAATCAGATACAGTGAGCCTTCCATGAATCTTGACTCAAACAAAATAATTGTAAAAAAGGCATTTTGTAGGCAAATTAGAGATATTTGAATGTGTTATGCATATTGAATGAACTAATGAAAGAAATAGTATTCTGCTTGGCATAATAATGGTATTATGTGTGTTTTGTTTTTTGTTTACAAAGTCCTTTTCTGTCGGAGATAATTGCTAAAGTATTTGTAAGTGAAATGATATCATATGGTATTTCCCTTAAAAATGTAAATGGGAGATGGATGAAAAAAGAATGGAAAATGGTGATGTTTGTTAAAAATTAGTGATTGGTCTTCAGTTTCATTATACTGTATTTCCTCTACTTTTTAGTATGATTTAAAATTTCCATAATAAACCGTGCAACAATAAAAAACACAAGCATTTTAAATTTCTTTAGGGAAACACAGAAATGTTTCCTTATTATCATTAATGTCTTCTAGAATAAAATGTTTAAAGAACAGGAAGGCTTTGAATAGATCATGGTTCAAAGCTAAAGTTTGTTGATAATGATTGAAATACACATGCTGTTCTGAATGGAGTTCGCCTAACCATTCAGTCTTTTTTTCTCTAAAGACATACTCAGGAGAGTTATAAGTACACCTTCCCCAGAACCTCATTCCTCTTCAAATATTCTGAATGATTTCCTTCCTATTCAATTTAAATATGATAGAAAGTATAAAACTCTATGGAAAATAGGAAACTGATATTTATATTATATATAAGAGTTTCATAGTAACCAGTATTGTTCTGTTTTACTTATTTCATGTTTTTGGCTTCTTTTGAAAATAATTTTGTGATAGATGAAGTCTGGAACTTTCCCAAGTTTAAACCATACACATATATTTTAAAGTTACAGAAATATCTATGAGAAACCTAATTGTTTACACATCTAAGAGGTCTTCACACTTCCATTTCCATCAGAAAATGGACATTTTCTCAGAGTCTTGAGCTAAACATCGGGGATTCCATCGAGCAGTTGGAGTGAGCCTCCCAAGGTGAAGCTAGATGACAGTCATGGAGGTGTCTTATTATTGGGCATTCAGACAACTGTGGGAGATGCATCTTCCAAAGATTGCTATGGGCCATTTTCCCTCAAGTGGCTCTTGTGTTAAGTGGCCTTGCTCTCCCCATCACCACATGGACTCTGCCCTTCCCTTGGAGCCTTCCTGTCCCTCTGAGCTACTCCAAACCCCACGGGACAAAAGAGGTTTCCCTGGGACTGAGGCAATATCATAAATTGCTTTAGTATCCTGGGGGCTCCTGGCTCACTGTCTGAGGATGTTCCCTTCAGGGCAGGCTTCATGCTACAGGAATTCAGCCCTGTCCCCACCACCCAAAGACACCTGAGATCTGATGGAACTGTGGAGATTTATGGCCCACAAGCCTGCAATAGGGTCATGCAAAGACACATTCCAGGGGATCAGGCATTTCACACGTGCTGGGAACCCAAATTTCAGGCACACTTCCAGGTTCCAGTCCTTTGCTTCCCAGGAACAGTGCCACAACAGCCCTCATTAACCTGTCCAGGGCTTTCCTGTGCCCTTGACACCCACTGTGGACCCCAGACCTCAGCTCCATCACTTCTTACTTCCCTGTGTGTAGTTCCTCTCTCCACCGCTCAACCCACCAGTCTCTGCTCAAATGCCCCCTTTCTCCAGGCTTAGTTACCTGCCCCTCTGTGACCCTTTCACACTCTCCTCCTCCCGTGTTCTCAGCACCTCCCTCTCTGGGCAGCACCAGCTTCCGCTGAGTTTGGGAAAATCTCTTCCACACAGGGAAGTCTGTGATACTGTGGCCACTACATCAATTCAAGCACTTTCAGTACAGGGTCCAAACAGCAGAATGGGTTCATCTTGGAGCCTCCAAACCTTCCTATGGTCACATCTGACATACTTATCACAGACCACACAATTTCACTCCAAACCCCCAATATTTGTCATTTTAGGCTACACAGTTGGATTTGTGTACCTATGAGTGAAGTTCCCATTGAAGGTCCTATGGGGCATGTGGTCCATCACAGATGGACTCAACTGGAGCTGCTGGAGTTCTTGTGGGTGAGACCCCAGTTGTTCTCCATGTCATGGCCTCATGAGGACATATGGGCAACATTAACTAAATACTTCCACCTACACTTTACACACCCTTAACAGGGAGCATGAGGATTTTAAGCACACACAGAACAGATGGGTATATTTGCCTCTTTAGAATGCAGCATGTAGGCAGTTTTTTAAAAATAAATGGAGGGATTAGGAAGCTGGGTATAAATTAGGACTCAGATCACAATGTGGGTGCTCTCACCTATCTCACCACTCTGAGATGAGAGCTCTCTTTTGAAGGTTATCTTCAAATCTGGGAGCTGACCTTTTCCCCTTGCAGATCCAACACAAGCACTCTTGGCAACACACTGTGTCTAGTCCTTCCTTAACTGCAAAATAGCCACGTGGTCTCCACTGGCAGTTCGGGAAGACACACCAGAAACTAGCTCTGTGACATTTGTCCTTAACCTCGTCTGGTTATAAACATCTTGGCTCAAATTATCATGATTTCTAAAGTCCTTTTCCAGTTTAGAAATCAGGTATGTGTGTTCAGTTTTCTAAAATGTGATTTTTTTCCTTATTAAATAATGTACTTTGTCTGTTAGGCAATTTATCATATTTTGCTACATTCAAATGTGGGGTTCAACCAGAAATAAAGTGCAGCTCATGTAAGATCTGCATATTTACAATGAGAGGCCACTCAGCCATGTGCCTACTGGACCACTAGGACATTCATTTATGTCTTTATGGACCTGTTATATTTTGACTATACAAAAGTTTATGATTAAAATGAGAAAAATTATAACTTATGCATATGAAAATATTTTAAGAAATGAAATTTTACCATTCTTTTAAAACATGAAACTTTAGGTTATTAAAAAAAAGCTGGTTATAGACATAATTAGAGAAAGGACAACATTTTACCTATGAAGAATTTCACAGAATTCAAACCACACACAGATATCAATGATTCAAGTTTTTTGTTACACTTAATAAGATCTGGTCAATTTTAAGATAAAATTCCTCCAATGGATGTTCTGCTTTCAAAGAATCCTCTTAATCACTGCCATCTCACACAGGTGGATAGCTGCCCAGGGAGGCAATTCAACAGTTGGTTTTTCCAGTCTCTGACCATGTTTATACAGCCATTCATACTCCAGCCTGTACCACATCTGAAATATGAGGGGGTTTCCTATTTATTCAAAGAATCGAACACATTTATCTTTATTATCAGTAACATATGAGATTTAACAGTGCAACTGAGGTCAAGATAGTTTCAGAAAGAATCAGGCAGTTCTTGTTCAAGTTTGAGTCATAAACCCACATATCATTCTTATCTCCCAAACCTTTCACATAACTGCAGATTTAGAGACAGGAAGTCAAACTCTTGGGGACACATGTTTTTCAGAATTAGGAAACTTTTCACATTTGGAAATACAATGAAACAATCTAAATACACTAGCAAATGAGATCAGTAACTCAACCTTATAATCTAACATTAATACAAGAGTGTTCACCTTAAATAGGATAAAGAATTTGGGATTTCCAAATTGTGCTCAGGATTTGAAGCTCTGTAGCTAAATATTGACTCCAAAATGTGTTCCCTTTCAGTTTCAAATGAAAGAATTTTTGGCATTTTATATGTGTTTTTGACAACCCAATATTTATTATCATCTGATTCTGCTCCTTCAGACCATAGCCAGCCACCAGAATGCAATGATTCAAATTTTTACTATTGCAATGTGGACCATAATAAATGCCTGAAAGTAATGGTGAATGCTGTGTGAGGACCTCCAAGTCCCATGTGACAGTAACCCAGACTATCGACCACAGTAAGGAAAACATCTCAAAATTCAGCTAATAACATAAATCCAGGTAAGATTTAAAAACATTATTTTTAATGAAGGCTGGATATAGGCCGTCATCTGACACATGCAAATGTAAATGGGAAGAATCTTTTCTGTAAACAACTTAAGTGGCATATGAAACCACTCACTGAGATGTTGTCATTGTACTCTTAGGATGTCAGCAGAAAGAAAGATATTTGTGTTAATGGGTTCTTTCCTAATTTAATTATAGTAGTAAGATACTTTGGAAAACTTAAAAATTCTAAGAATTGGTAAAAATTAAAAGTAAAATAAGCTATGCCAGTGGTGTGGTGCAGCCCATTAAGTACACTTATGATGTAATAAAATAATGGGGATATGGTTTAAGTGATGTCAAATGGAAATACTGTGGGCAAATATTATGGATACAGAGTGAACAACTCTGTTAAAAACACACCGCCAAAAAATTCTGGCTTGAATTCTACATAACAAAGAATCAATCTTGCTGTGTGTAAGGTGGTTTTCCAACTTTTGTCTATATTTCTGCATAGAGGTTAAATGATAATAAGGCAAACAGCTTTACTTACCTTTGTATGATATGGATAAAATAGATCCAAGTCCACACCTCCGTTGCCAAGAGCATACTGGAATGCGTAATCCATTAGTCCACCTCTGCAGCCCTATTGCCTTGAGGGCCGAAGCATTCCGCGTGATTCTGCTCACTCAGTGGAACAAGTCTGCCGGTTTTCCTGAACACTTGTCCTTCAAGGACACCAGCTTCACTAAATGCCTAACCAGAAGCACAATGACGTGGAAACAAAAAGAAAAAAAACCCTCTCAGTCTACTAAAGAAATAGACTTTCACAACAACTCTTTTACCTGAAACACTTTCTAAAACTTAGTGAACTGTGCACTGTTTCACAGTGCACCAAGGCAAGCATGCCAGTTCGTTTCTGGCTTTATTCTCGGAGGCAGACCTGCTCAGTGCTGTCCTACCTGGTCCTTCAGAGGACTTACACAGCCTTTCTCCCTCCCGTCCACAGCTGGGGTGATCTCAGCAAGGGGAAGTTCTGGGAACACGTTCCCCGGCTTCTGCTTGTGCTTTATAATGCCAACCATCACCCACCTGAATTCTTCATTGGTCTTTAATCAAAAGGAAGTTGAACAGGAGAAAAGTAAGACAGTTTTTTTGTTAAACTGCTGAGGAGAGGAAGCACCCAAAGTTCCGCAATTGATGCCACACTCATCATGTCAAAAAGGCATTCATTGCCATGCAAAGCGGTGGCTCCCTAGGCCATATTCCTGATTGTGCCTGTCCATCATTTTCAGATTCTCCCATGCTGCTCACCTCCACCCTTCTTCATTCTGGGCAAACATATGACTCATCATCTTTATTTCTATTTAAAACCAACTCACCAGCACAACATGAATTTTCAGAGAGGAAGAGAAACCATGGCCAGGGTGCCCTTTATACTTCAGGGAGCTGATGTCCAGCACCCACACAATGGAATTTACCTCCACATTCTGCTCAGCAATGGGAGCCATGATTATCGCCTTGGTGAGAGCCACCTCGAGAATCTGCTCTGTGCTATAAACTCCCAACAGCACCAACCCCTGTCTGTGGGATCTTTATGGATAGTTTCAGATGTTTCCAACTTTGCCATGTAGTGTCCCATGTGTTGCCTCTCACTGGGACCATTGAGTATCCAAGCCACTGTCTACTTGTGGAGCACCTGAGGCTGTTTCCAAGTCCAGGACAGTCAGGAGGAGTGAAGAATGTACATTTACAAACCTAGGAAAGAAAACAAAATGAGTATCTGTTCAGACAAAACCTAGCAATTAAAGGGCATATGCAAGAAACTAAAAAATGGTTTGCTGCACTCCTTCAGCATATGCAACGGGGGTCAGAAGTGGACATACCTTGGGCTACATGTGAGGGATTAGGGTGAGAGTCAGTGGTTAATGTTCAGGGGTGAGGGTTAGGATTCAGATAAGTGTCCAGTTATGCAGGTTGGGTTCAGCATGAGGGTTCAGGGCTGGGCTTGGGGTTCATATTCAATGTAGTCTTTGTGTTTGTGTTCAGGATTTTGGATTCACATTTGGGTTTAACTTCAGAGTTCTGGTTCTGGGGTTATTAATCTGGCTCAGAAGTTTAGGATATTGGAATCTGGGGTCCAGTCAGGGATAAGGATTAAGGTTTTGTTTGGGTTAAGTTCACTGGGTTGATAACATTACACTTAGAGTTAGATTGGGGCTTAGGGTTAGGGCAAAGTTTCAGTTTAGCTTTCAGTGTACAGTGGAGTGTGAGTGAGGGTGAGGGTGGGGATGAGTGTTATGTTCAGGGTTATGTCCAGGATTAGCTTTAGATTTGAGTTAGGGTTGGGGTGAAGGTATGGTGATGGTTAGGTTAGGATAAGGATTATGTTTGTCTTTCTGTTAACAGTGAGGTCGAGGTAATGGTGAGATTATGGTTTAGGGCCAGCGTTAAGGTTAGGTTTAGGGTAAAGTATATAGTGAAATTATGACTATGTTAGAGTTAGCCTAAGTGTTATGATCAGTTTTCATGGTAGCCCCAGGCTAACAGTGAGGTGTGGGTGAGGATGAGGATGAGTGATATGGGTTGAAGGTTAGGCTGAGAGTGAGGGTGAATTTTCGACTCTAGGTTGAGCATTATGATCCTTATTTTCCCGAGGGTAGTGCTGAGGTCAGACATGGGTCACCTCGAACACCCCTATCTTTTCTAGGAAGGAAGCTAGAGGACAGCCCAGGAGCATAACACACACTCACTAGGATTGATCAAAGTCCTTTCTCTATGAGCCATATGGGTCACTGTGGCCAAAGCACAAATGAATGCCTTGGTTCTGGGTGCCACTTTCTCTATAGGCACCTAGGAGATCAACCCCAATCTTCCCAAGGACCAAACCCACAGCTGAGTCTCCAGGCCCTGAAGGAGGTACCTGCTGTCCTCACAAGGCAGCTTCTGTGTCTAGGAAACATTCATCACAATTGCCACTGTGACATCATGGATATACCACAACACTGGTGTTCATGTAAGTCCTCCATACCAGATGTCCTTCCCCTTGGATGCATCTACTGCAGAGCCTTGAGAAGCTGCATCATCACAGTCAGCAAATAGCACGGGGTCAGTCACATGTATGGAGAGATATGGCCTGGCACGTCCAAATGCATGAACTGCAGGCACACGTTCCACACCTCCTGCATCCACACAGTCACACAGACATCTTTTCCTCTGGGTGTGCATCAGGGATCAGGTGAGAGTCAATGGTAGCTGTCAGGGTTCCTGCAGGCACAGGTTAGTTTGGATTTCATTTCAGGTGTTTATTGTGGGGGTTCAGCTGTTGTTTTCATGCTTCAGAGTCAGCCATGGGATTTGGATTCACTTAAGGTGGTTAGGTTTGTGGTTTCTGTTAGGGTTTTGAGGTTCAGGATAGGGCTTCTTGTACAGGGTAAAGTGTGTGGGTTTGTGTGTTCATGGATTGGTGTTCATGGTTTGGGTAAGGGATTAAATTTATGGTTGAGGGTTGGGGTTAGAGTTAGTGTTGAGCTTGAGCTTTTTGAGTTAGTGTTAGGCTTAGTGTTAGGGCCGAGGTTTAAGGATAGATTTACTGGTAGGGTATGGGTTAGAGCTAGGATTACAGTGACGTGTGTGAGAGGGTAAGTGTTATGCTTTTGGGTAACTGTTAGGCTTAAGATTAGAAGTAGGCATAGCTATACAGTGATGGGAATCAGATAATGTGGAAGACTATCTCCAAGCTAACTTATATATGGTCCTCTTACTGAGATGAAATTTCAGCGTGAACTTGCCTCAAACATGGAAAACTGAGTGAATTGAGAAAGAATACACATTTTGCTGAACAAAATATTCAAGGACAAATTTTTATGTGAGAATTTAATTGCTGGGGAAATTAATTTTTGTATTATTGGTTTTAAAAGTAAATGTGCTCTTACATAACAATTGGTCCTAAGCCTACAAGGAGTGACAAGGGGCTCATATCAAGAAGTTTGCTAGAAGGATTCCTTCTCAGTCATCCAGGAAGTAATTCAGTTGCTTATCATTCCAGTTCTAGGACCAAGCCACACTACTTGAATCTAGGATTCCCTACACCTTCACAGCCAGCAGGAGGATATGGCATAGTATTTCCCTAACAAAAGATCAATATTGGTCTCTTTTGTCCATTCTTTATATTTGGCTGGAGAATTGTGCGGACACTAGTCCCACCTTGAAAATTATGGCAAATCTTCTTAAATCAAATGATGAGCCACTTGATACCACCTGCAATTTTGAACTCCATCTGGATTTTTGAGATGAGTTTGCAGTGGGTTTTCTCACCTCTGACACTGAATTTTTGGGGCACGGTAGTTGATTCTGTTGCTTGCTGCACTGTGCATTGTAGATATTGCAGAGCATGCATCTGACATTGCCAAATATCACCAGAGGCAAAATCATTTATACTTGAGATCTGCAGCCCCAGAGTTTGAGAATAGGATGCATCCTGGCATAATTACAAACAATTCTGCGTTGTTACCCAGATGAGAACCCTTGATGGACAAGTCCACTGTCCAGACCCATTTTTGACACGGAAAATGGGCTTCCTCAGAGGACCATTTTACAGAATGTACTTTTCTATAAATTCAATCCCATAATCAGATCACATAAGTAGATCACATAATCAGATCTACCCTAAGTGAGTGTTTGAAGATTGCAAGAAGCCTAATGAACACTGGTTTCTCAGTCTGAGAAGAGAAACAAAAACAAAACCCGAAATGATTCCATTCAGCCAGTTTAGAGCCTAATCTGCTAGAAACAGAGATTTGGCAGGAAAAATTATCTTTCCATTTTTACAAGGATCACACAGGAAAGTATGTGTACATCAGAGTGGGATTACCAAGAGAGCCATTCACCTTAAGGGCATATCCAAGGAATTAAATAATGGTGTTGATACAGCCCTTCAGCATATGCTACTGGGCTTTGAAGAGGACAAGGCAGTTTCTTTAGATTCCTAAGTCTCCAGGTGAGGGGTCTGGGTGAGAGTCGACAGTTAGGCTTCCAGGTAAGGGGTAGGGTTCCTATAAGAGTAAAGGGTGCCACTTCAATTTGAGTGGTTCAGGTTCATTGTGAGGGGCCAAGGTTTGTGTTGGGGTTCATGTTCATGAGGTAAGTTTGCACTTGGGTTCAGAGTTTAATGTTCAGGATCTCATTAATCTCTGGCATTCTGGTTCATTGGTTAGAGTTCAGATTCATGTGTTTGGGATTTCAGGGTCCAGCATCCAGGTTAGGAAAATGGGTTAGTGTTGGGCGTAGGGTTAGGTATATGATGAAGATATTGTTATGGTTAGAGTTAGGGTAATGGGATAGGTTTAGATTAGCAGTTCTGTTTACCTTTGATCAACAGTGATGTGTGGGTGAGGGTGAGGATGGGTACAGTGTTAGGGCTGGGTCTTAGATTAGATTTGCTTTATGCATGCACTGTAGGCAAAGTACAGTTTTGGTTAGATTTAAAGTAAGGGTTTAGGTTAATAGACTGTTTAAGTTTGTCTTTTGGTTAACAGTGAAATGTCATTGAGGATGATGTTAGCATTTAGGACTAGGGTTTGGTTAGGTTAAAGGTTTTGTGTACAGTGAAGTTATAGCTTCAGTTAGCAAAAAGGGTAAGGGTCAGTGTTTAGTTTACCTCCAGCCTAACAGTGAAGTGTGGGTGATGCTGAGGTTGTTGGGTGATGGGAGAAGATAAGGGTGAGAGTGAGGGTGAGGTTTTAGCTGCACATTGTGCATTCCAATCCCCAAATTGTGAAGGGGAACATTTGGCTAAAGTGTCCCACCTGTGCCCCTACCTTTCAAATGGATGAGGTTATAGGATAACCCAAGAGCAAGACCCACACTCACTAGGGTGGGCACAGAACTGAATGCCTTTCTCATTGAGATATATATATGCCTTGTGTCTGGGTTCTATTTTCTCCAAAGTGGCTAGGGTTAACAACTTTCACCTCACTGAGTACTGCACCTTCTACTGAGGTCCCAGGCCCTGAAAATGGAATCTGCTCTCCTTACAAGCCAGCATCTCTATTTAAGCTACAGTTGATTCAGCCACCACTGTGACATCATGGATCTATGGGAACACTGGTGCTCATGCAAGTCCTCCACACAATAAGTGCTTTCCATCAGACACATCTACTGCAGAGCCCTGAAAAACTGAAACATCTCAGACAGTGAATATCAGGGGTTCAGTCACATGTGTGGAGAGCTCTGCCATGGCACAAAAAATGCATGAGCCACCAACACATGTTCCACAGCTACTGCATCCATGCAGCCAGTTGGGGATCCATTCAGATGGGTCAAGGTCAGGCATCAAGGAGAGAGTCAACGGTTAGCTCTCAATGCTCCAGTTGCCTGAGGGTTCAGCTGTGCAGTTTGTTTCAGGGCTTAGTGTGGGGTTCATGTATTAGTTACTAGCTTAGGAGTCAGAAGTGGAGTTTGGTTAGGTTTTGAGTTTGTGTTCAGTGGTTCAGAATTCAAAATCAGTTTTCTTGTTCAGGGTTGGGGTTTCTGGATTCAGTGGTTAGTGTCAGGGTGCTGGTAAGTGTTAAGATTGGTTGATGTTTAGGGTTAGACTTAGTGTTCAGACTAAGGGTTAGGGTTAATGTTAGGCTTACTGTTAGAACTGAGATTTAGGGTAAGATTAGGGTTCATTCTTGGGTTTGGGGTCAGGTTACACTGCTGTTTGACTTAGGGTTATATTTTTGGTTTTGGGTAAGTCGTAGGCTTAGGGATAGATTTAGAGCAAATAAAATCAGTTAATGGGGAAGACTATCTCCAAGCTAATTTATAGTAGATCTTCTCATGAGGATTAAATTTCAAAGTGAACTTCCCTTAAGCATAGGAAACTAAATGGTTGAATTTGGAAACAGAATTTCCATATCTTAGAAAAATATTCCTGTTTATATCTCTGGGTGAGAATGCAGTGCTGGGGTAACCAATTTTTATCTTCCTGGTTTCAAAACTATGTATGCTCTTACAATTTAGTAGGTCCTAAGCCTACAAGGAGTGACAATGTCCTCACATCAAGATGTCTTCTAGGCTGGGTTCCTTCTCCATCATCCATGGAAGAATTCACTTGCTTTAACATTCCAGCTCTAGAACCAGGCTACATGACTTGAATCATGGACACCTTATAATTACTGGCAGGAAAACATGATGGAATATCTCCCTAACTCCTGATCTATTTTTGTCTATTTTGCTCATTTATTCCCATGCTGGTGGGGAAATATGAGGATACTGGTCCCACCTAGAAAATTGTAACAAGTCTTTGTAAATCAAACAATGAGCCTTTTGACATCATCTGCCACAATGAAGCACACCTGGAAGCTTGAGCTGAGTTTGTCTGCAGTGTGTTTTCTGAACTTCTGACACTGAATTTTGGGGATGTGATAGTCTTTTTTGTTTCTTGTTGCTGTTTGCATTGTATATGCTGAGCAGCATGTATTTCAACATTGAGTAATAGCGCCAGTGGCAAAATAATCTGTGATTGAGTTTCACCACCCCAGAGTTTGAGAACAACAGGCATCCTGAAATATCGGCAAGCAATGCCCCATCCCTTATCCGGATGAAAACTATTGATTGTCAAGTCTACTTCCGGACCCATTTTTGCCATGAATAATTTGGTTTTCCCAGAGAAGCAACTCACAGTAGGCACTTTTCAAAATGTTCTATCCCATATTACAGATCATATGCAAACATCTGTTGCTAGAATGTAACACATTTCAAAGCTGTCCCTTGTCAGAAACAAAGATTTTATGATGAGGGACTACAGGACAGCTCCCAACTGATATCCCATTGAAATGGCTGTTTTGGTACAAAGGATTATTAGTTGTAGGAAGTATCATGTCCCCACTTTTGGTATAAAGTAACCTGTTTACCTTTTGTTGATGATAGGTAAAGTAAGTAGTTTCTAGAATGACCAGTGGTTTTTTGTCTTGCTAAGTCAGTGTTTAAAGATTTCAAGAATCCTTATGATTTTAGTTTTCTCAGTCTGAGAAAAGATTTACTCATGATGCATATCAGTTGCTGGCAATTGAGACCTATAAAAGGCAGGAGAAGAAAGAGAATAGAAGAAACATGAAAACAAAAGCGAGAATGACTTCTTTCAACTGTCTTAGAGCCAAGACTACTAGGAACAGAGATTCTTTGAAACATTTCCTTTCTGTTTTTACCAGTATCCTGCAAGGAAGCAATGTGTGCATAAAGGCGGGACAACCAAGAGAGCCATTCACCTAA